AAAAGCAGTGGGAGGCTGTACAGACTTGAAATTGGAGGTTTCTCCCTGACCATTCCTAGGCACAAGAAATATTTCCCACTCCCCCCATAGCAATTCTATGACAGCCTTTTGATACTCCAGATGGTGGCAGCCAAGACAGGCAGCCTGGGAAATTAAAACTGAATTCTAGTTCATCCATGTGGATTCTCTAGTTAGTGTCCCAGTGTCCTGGATCATAATGATAATTGTCACTTGGCTGAGTACACACTCACCAAAACCTCCTCCTAAGGCCTACACAGGCAAATATGAAGACCTTCACAGATCTCTCACACTTTTATGAAAACGTTTGACATACCAAATAAAAAAAAGCTTTGATGCAATTAGGAGGTGATTGCAAAAATAATAAATGATAGTCCTGGAAATGGAAATAAGAATTTTGAGCAGTAGAGGGCAAACACCAACAATATCTACCAGAGTGGAAACACCTCTGTGAGGCTCATGTTTCCTGGCATTTGTCCATGGTTCCTGGTTTATAACTTTCTCTCCATGTCAGACTATAAGAGACTAGAATTTCACTTCCTCCAGGTGACTCACAGAAACTAAAAACATATTGCAATCTTTCCTTGCCTCTCTTGTCTTGGCACTACCCATAAAGACACCCTCACTCTCCAGCTTACCTTTGCTAAGAAGTAAGTGATAAAACTTGAGGGATCTTACCCATACCCTGGAGAGGGGAATGTTGTACACACTTGTGCAACTAGGAAGAATGTGCAATTGGATGAGTCTTGCTGGCTGGGTTTCCCACTAGCCTACTAGCAATCCTGTCTATGCAAGGCTTCACCAAAATCCAAAAGGACTGGGTTCAGGAAGTTTCCATATAGCTGAACGCATCACATGGAGGTTCAGAGAAATGGCGACCTTATAAAATACATGCCAGCTCCATCTTCCTGGCCGATGCCTTACCTACACATCTGTCCCTCTGCGCTCCTTACACATTCGTTATAATTAAGACAATAACTTAAATGCTTCTCTGAGTCCTGAGCAAACTGACTGAAACCGAGGAGGTGTTATGGGAACCTAAGTTATAGCCAGTGGGCCAGATGCATGGTTAAAACAGGGTAGGACTTGCAAGTGGCATCTGAAAGGTGGAAAGAAAATAGCCTTAGGGGACCAAGGCCTCAAATTATGAGGCTTGACAGGATCTTGAAATAGACAGAGTCAAAGCTGAACTGGATTAGAGGACACCAGCTGGCACCCACCTGAGAAATTCTTGGCGTGTGGGAAGATCTGGTGTCAGAAGTCTTCTGTGCTGATTATTGTGTGAGTGAAAAGAATGGGAATTTTATTTACCTCGAGCCTAGAGAAAGGGGTGGGAGGGAGGGGGTTGAATAGGGCTTGTTTTTCTGAAGGAAAACATTCCACTGTGGTGTTCCTAAATTGGTGTGAAGGCCTTAAGTCCAACTGACTGCTGGATCTGCAACCCTTTGCCCAACCGATGGCTCTGACTGATATGTCTGCCTTGTCCCTTGACTCTACTGGGAAGTCTGTAAAAACAGCAGTGGATGGCTGGCTCTCCAGCACCTCCCATACAAAACACCTGCCAATACCTACAGACACCTTTCCTAACCCAGCACTCAGAACTAGCATGGTTTCCCTCTGGTGGTGAATAACCCACAACTGATGATGCTGGGAAGCAAGTTAGATAAGATTAACTGCCATCAGGCAGTCCTAAAACCAGACTAATGTTGTTTAAAGAAAATTGGAATTTTTTTTTTAGCAGAAAAAAGTTTATTAAAAGAAAGGAAGGAAGAGAAAGAAAGAAAGAAAGAAAGAAAGAAAGAAAGAAAGAAAGAAAGAAAGAAGAAAAAAAATGAAAAAAGAAAAAGATACTCCAGAGAATAAAAGTGAGCTGGTGAGACTGGGAAAAGGCATAGCTCAAAAAGAGCTGGACCAGGAGTCACAAGACCCTTTGTAGGTCATTTCCACAGCATCCATCTTCTTTCCATCTATTTATCTCTGCCTTTTCTTATACGTGCTCTGTTTGTTACAGGTGGAGAAGAATTAGAAAGGAGAGCAGGAGGAAGGGAGGGGAGAAGGATGAAGAAAGGAAGAAAAGAAGAAAAGAAACGAAAACTATTAGCTAACTAAAAAATCGTTTGTTGAGTGATTCAATTAAAGTCAAGAAAGCCACTGAAGTGGATTCAAGTTTTTGCTTCTCCAATCTTCTCTGGGGACTTTAAGGGATGGCAAGGAAGGTTATACTGCCTGCCCTCATCACCCAGCTTCTTGCAGAAGCAGGACAGGGATGCAACCTGCAATATCAGAATAAAAATATGACAAAACCAAGTCAACAAAATCAGGCTGGAAATCCTTCTCTACCTGTGCTACCTGTAATAAAATTGGAATTTTAAAGTTAACTTACTGACCAACAAGTGAGGTTGGAGACCCTTGTAGCATCTTTCTCTAATCTATGCAGCTCCCATTTAAGGGTCCCCAACAATGATAGGCAAGCCTTTCTTCTTTAGTGTAATGCTCACACTGGGATGTTATATTATTTGTGGAACTGAGGCACTAGCCTTTCTGCCTTGTAAACAAAGTGGTTTGCAGTGTAGTAGATGTCTTAAGAAACCTTTAAACACTTAAGGAAACAGCAATGAAAAAGCTCATGTAGACCTCAGAATTAAAGGAATCTCCCCGAAAAGGCTACTCTTGTGGGACAATGGTAAATCTCAATTTCAACTTGACTGCATTTAGAATCATTATAGAAACACACTTCTGAATATGTCTATGAAGGTGTCCAGAAAAGTTTCTGGTTTGGGGTTCAAGGAGGAAACTGAAATGAGCTGTCATTTTGGGTAACAGAGTGATTGGAAGAGTTTTTAATGCCATGGACAGACAGATGGACAGCAGTACTATAGGGGATCTGAGGAGAGATTATGAGGCCCTCTGATATTCCACAGTCTAGCAACCTGTTAACTCCTTGTGGCAGTGTGGAATGATACCTGTCATTCCACCACAATCCAGATACCTGGGTAGTCTGCTAGAGAGAGGTAGAAAACCACAAATGGGGGCTCACCATTTTCTTACATCTGCTGTGGCTATGAGAAAGAGACTTCTGTCAGAAGACAGTGAGAGACCAGAGAATTAAAAATTAGTGGGTATTGGTTTAAAATTTAAAGCACAAGCCTGAACAAAGGCCAGCCAGGTGGAGACATGTCTAGCCACCTGCAGGGAAGAACTAGCCTTACTGTATTTTTTTTTCCTGCCCACCAGAGATACAATTGCTAGGAAACTGGCCCAGATGGCCAGGCCAGAACCATTTTTATGGTCTTGGTGCCTAAAGTAAACCAATCATTTAAAAAGTCAGTTTCCCTTACCCAGTCATGTAACACCAAGGCATGTACCCCACCGCTTGCAGTTTTTCCCTTTAAAATCCCTGTTCCCCTAGACCACCCGCCACACTCCTCATCTTCACCAAGAAGGTTGCTGTGACCCAGACTTAAGCTTGTATTAAATAAACCCTTATGTATTTGCAGTGGAGTTGATTCCTGGCAGTCTTTGCGGGTTTCACGAACTGGGCATAAGAGCAGAATCCTACTGTAGTTGGGTATTGTGAGACTGTAGTTGAGAATTGTATGAGACAAACTGAGTAGATTGTGTTGTTGTTATTATTATTTGGTATTATTTATTAAACTCAGGGCCTAGAACATGATAAACATGTACAGTATCATTAAGCTATACTCCAGTCCCTTTCTATCAAAGGATCATAGCCTACAAGATTTATGATTTCCATTATTTTGACTATTAGGAAACTAAGACACAGGGACTTAAATATTTTGCACAGCTCATACGTCTAGTTAAGCAACAAAGCCGGAATTCAACCCTAGATCTACCTAGAACTCACAGGGTTATCTCCATTAGTTCACACTAGGCCATCACTTTCAGCCTAAAAAGTGTTTCAACTGATTCTCGATATAGTTTCCATTGAGGCTATCTTAAGGGGTTGAGAATTTGGCCCTTCTGATCTCCCAAGTCCACCTCTGCAAGCCAGCTTCCTGCTTCTGAACCCAACTCTAGAACAGGAGGCCAGGCACCAGTGACAAATTCTATGTCCTGTTGACCTTTATCCCCACAAAGGGATAAAGGTCAACATGTGAGTTTGTATTTGTATATCATGGTCTGGATTTTAAGCATCTTGATATAATGAACCTATTGTGTGGGCCAAATCCCATCTCTTTGGAGAGACTCTTTGCTCTTAAGATCTGGCTGGCAGCAACCAGAAACTTTTAAGTGTATCTTCTTACTGTTGAGGAAATAAACAATTCTTCAAGCATGTCTCAGGAACCTTTTACATATATAGATATACATATATAAGCACGTACACAAATATCTAAAGATTTTATATTATAACACTTTTGGGGTGGAAAGTCACCTCAGGTGTTAAAAGTGCTTGCTGCTCTTTCACAGGACTGGAATATTGTTCCCCAAACCCACATCAGGTGGCTCACAACTACCCATAACTCTATCTCCAGGGGATCTGACGTCTTCTTCTGGCCTCTGAAGGCACCCGAACACACAGGTCCATCCACATATAAGTATATAAATAAAAGAAATCTTAAATATATGTTATAAAAGTTTCTACATATAAACTTACATAATTACAACTCTTCTACCTTTTGTTCAGCATTATATTTTCTTCCCTCAGTAATTAGCACAACAATAACCTCAACATTACATAAAAAGAGAGGAGAACGAGCATAATTGCCAGACAAGACCAACTTATTCACCTCTGCTCCCCTGCCCTTTGTCCCGGGATGTCTCTTCCCATCTCCTCATTGAGAGAGCTTGTCTGCTGATCACATTCTGCCCAACCTGTGACTGCAAGAAAAGCTGGACTTTGCACAGGAACAAATCCTCCCTGTCAACTCTCCATTCCCCACCCATCCTCCACTACTACCAACACTCAATCCAGATCGTTTTTTTAAACAGTCAGAACAATGAGGGGAAAGGTGAAAGACGTTCTGAAACTGGGGCAGAAGTTATCAGAAGTTTGTTTAATTTCAGGGTGGACTCTTGCTTCACTGTGAGGCAGTCCTTTAACACTGACCTGCTTGAGGTCATTTCAGAAAAAGCAAGAACAGAAATAACATTACATACTTCATCTTTACAGATTTCTGGACCAAAACATATGTGATGGTGAGTGAAAAGGAGATGGATGTACTTGACATTTGAGAGATTGCCTTATATTTAAACAGGGATGGCTTATTTATTTTGTTTTGACTGCTAAAATCTTTTGCATTACGAACACTTGAACTGTGTTTTAAACCTCTCTAAAATCAAGCAGGTGGCTCTAACACTTATCTGAATTTAAATTACAAAATGTATAAAGTCTCTTTTCTAACTCGAACTTGGCATTTTTGTTTGTTTGTTTTTTCAAGACAGAGTTTCTCTGTATAGCCTTGGCTGTCCTGGACTGGCTTTGTAGATCACAGTGGCCCTGAAATCACAGAGATCCGCCTGCCTCTACCTCTCCGAGTGCTGGGATTCCAACCGTGTGCCACCTCAACAGGATCACATTGAGCTTTGAAGAGAAAGGTCAGTGTTCTCAATTTTGTATAGATAGATAATGAAGAGGGTGCTCAAAGGGAGTTGAGATGTTTCTTTGTGTGTTTGCTGGAAGAAGTTACTTGTTTTAGATTTAAAAAATATGATATTCTTTTTCAGACCAAGAAGAAAAAGAGGAAGAGGAGGAGGAAGTAGAGGAGAAGAAGGAGGAGAAAGAAGAAGGAGAAGGAGAAGGAAGGAAGGAAGGAAGGAAGGAAGGAAGGAAGGAAGGAAGGAGAAAAGGAAGAAAGGTAGAAATAGGGGATGTTGAATGTTTTTCTCGTTGAGACTGGTCCTTTGTTTGTTTTGTTTTGTTTGTTTGAGACAGGTTTCTCTGTGTAGCTCTGGCTGTCCTACAACTTACCATGTAGACCAGGCTGGCCTTGATCTCAGAGGTCAGTCTGCTCTGCCTCCTGAGTGTGCCACCATGCTCAGCTGCTGTTGCTTTCTTAATGAAGTAGTTTAATAGTAAAGGGGTGTCAGGATAATGTCTTTATCTCTTGGAAATAAAATACCACTCCTTGTGTTATAGCTAGTAAGCATTTACTGAGTGATTCTTACAGTAGAATTATCCTCAGCATAACATATTGCATAAGCTGAATGTGCTGGCACATGCCTATGACTCTAACACTTGAGACTTGGAGGGAGAAGAATTACAAGCTCAGGAATGAGGCTTCCAGGAGAATACCAGCTTGATTTTTTTTTCTTTTAAATGACATCAGGAATAGTGTCTTAATGTCAAGTTCTGGAGAGTAGCCAATAGGATTGAGAATAGGTTATGACTCTTAGGAGGTCTAGAGGAATCATACTGGAGGTGGAGAGTGTATGCAAAGGGCATAGGATAGAAACTGCCAACATGACTGCTCTGTTAAGTGGAAGATTTTTATTGTGGGTCAGAGAGAGAAAATATCCGGAGGCATCTGGAAGAGTCTAGAGCACTGATCTCTATTCTTATAATAATGTAATTGCTGCCTTTTCAGGTTCTTTCAGGTGAAAATACCTGATGTGATGCCAGGAAGCCAGATGCTTCTGACGGATTTTCCCCCTAGTCTCCTTCCGTTGCCTGCTGGCTTGAGCCCCTGCTTTGAACCAGCATTCCAGATTCCCATTTTCTCAAGCCCCAAGTCAGGAAGCAGCTGCAGAAGCGACCATGTCATCCCTTAACACCAACAAAAGGCTGGAATGTTAGGTCTCAGAAGTACATACATCTAGAGACGGAGGAGCTAGCTGCTCAAAGGAGCTCAAAGGATCACCGCCTTGGAGTTGGTCGCTGGAGACCATAGTTTGCAAGCCAGTTCTTCGCTTGGCTGGACTTGCTGGGCAAGTTCGGTGCTCACCAGTTTTGCAGGATCATCTGGGCTGACGAGGTGCAGGCCATTTTGAAGCAATTTGTTGGATGCTGTTGATTCCTGGGCAGGGCCACATACAGACTGGGGACAGAAGGTATTAGCGTGGTCACTTCTACGCTGAAGTCCTCATTGTAAAAAGAAAAAGCAGTTAACAACTGTCTGTAAACAGATGGAGTCATAGTGAAAAAATAAAAACCTGAAGAGCTATCAACACGATAGAAGTATAAACATTTATTTGTAACAAGACGGGATTTTTTTATTTTTTTTTGACAAGTAAGAGCACAAAGGGGAAAAAGAACTTGAGGACACAAAGGATGATTTTAGGAAAAAGGATGAACATATCTAGAGGTCTGGACGTGCAGATTAGCCTGGGGTGTTTTCAGCACAATGAGAAGCACTTTTAAGTCTATATTTAGAAAACAACCAAGGGAAATTTAAATTTTTGAATCTGTGACTATGACAATTTTTAAACTTTTATTTTAATTCATGTTTTGTGAATTTTGCATCATGTACCCCAATCCCACTCATCTCCCTGTCTCTCCATATCTGTCCTCTGCCCTTGCAACCTCCCCCACAAAACAAAACAAAAAAACCATCTTGCTGTGAAAGCTGAAGTGTCACACATTATACCCTTTTGTGCAAACAACTTCGCTTGCAAATTTTCATTGCAGTGAATCATTGATCTAGTTCCGGGGCTCTGGCTTCTGCCACAATTTCCATGCTGGATCCTCACCAGGACTCCTCTGAGATACCCTGTTGTTTTGCCCTGTGTCATAGAGCTCTTGCAGCTTTGTTCTGCAGGACCCTCCCTTTCACACACTCCAGCACTTCATAGATGGGGTAGATGTTAGGGTGGTTTAACACAAAGTCTTAGATTTGGGCCTAAATGGTAGCTGAGTTGGTCTGCTCACCAGCTCTCCTGTGTCCATGCCATCAGGGCCAGCTCTCTTGCTCTCATGAGCCTGGGGCTGGCTAATCATTGCCTCTTCCAGCTGTACTGTGCTGCCCAGGTGAGGTGTGGGGCCTGCTGTCCCAAGTGCTGCAGCCTGTGGTGGGGATGGTCATGGTGGCGGTGGTGGTAGAGTTCTCCGGCCTGCCACAGGCATCAAGGGGTGGGTGGGGTCATCTCTCCCACACCATTAGTCACTGCACAGCCAGCAAGGGGAAAGTCAGCTTTCCTGCACCTATGCCACCAGGGTCAGCTCTACTGTGCTGTACAGGCTAGATGAGGAACCCACTCTCCCACACTCCTCAGGCAAGGTGTGGGACAAACTCTCCTACCTGGTGTAGGCAGCTGGGGGTAGGAAGTAAGGTTGTCTCTCCTGTGTTCACACCACCTCAAGGCTGGTGAAGGGCAGGGCCAGCTCTCCCACTCTAGGGGCCTGCCCTCCCATCCTGCCCAGACAAGGGGTTGGAGCCAGCTCTGCTTAGCCCTCAGACATCAACATGGTCCAAGGGAACAGCCCAGAGGATAGCTATCCAAATAGCCTTTCGTGTTAATGTGGGCCACAGGCATCATACAGCAGATCCCTGCTACTGCAAGGCCACTGGCCCTCGGTGGCAGCACAGGCCAGGACATCACCATGGCCTCAGGTGGCAATGTAGGCTACTCACATCAGGTTGTTTCTCATATGTACAGTTCTACCTGTCTTCATTGTGCACAAACCATTCCACTTCTCTTTCTCTGCCATCTCTCCATCACATACTTGCCATCATAGTGCTACAGTGTGTACCATGTCAGCAATAACATCTTCTTTTGGAAGATAGGATGGTTAAATGTTAGTCTAACCGTAAGATTCCAAAGGAAATAAGTCCCTGGCCAAAGCTAAACACAGAACAGAAAAATTGTAATTCAACATTGAGCTGTCCACCACAAGAGATTAGCAAATAGGCCAGTGGTGAGAAGTAAAGACAGGAGGACAAGTCCAGTCAGTTGTAGGACTCCACTCTACAGGTACTGCTCCTCTTCCTGGGCTCGGATGCAGCTCTGAAAGTCACAGTGACTCAAGTTTTCTCAAAGGAAAAGAAGGCATAGGCCCACTGGCACTTGTGTTTGTCACTGGCTCTACTGATGGACAGTGTAATTCATTCACCATTTCCCAAGGACCTAGAACAGCAACTGCCTTCACATCTTCAGTTCTGCCTCTCATCATAGCACACACACTGCTCAGCTTCTCTTCCTTTTCTATCTCTTCACCACCTATTTGCTCACTTCTTTTTCTCTCAACACTCTACCACCTACTAGGTAGCTTGAGCCCAGCCTGGCAAGGACTTGGACACAGCTCACGGTCTTGTCTTGGCACATCCCACAGACTGTGCCTGGCCCTGCCAACTATGACAATTTTTTTAAAAAAAGTTTAGCAGCCAGTGTTTTTTGTTACCAAGGCCAGATTAACAAATCAGAGCTCCACTGATGAGCATTAAACCCTGAACTTTGAAGTCTTAACATCAAATGTATCATTTTTAAGTCTCTCTTTCTCTTTTTTTTTTTGAGACAGGTTTTTTTTCTGTGTAGCCTTGGCTCTCCTGGAACTCACTCTGTAGACTCGGCTGGTTTTGAACTCAAAGATCCCCTGCCTTTGCCTCCCTGAGTGGTGGGATTAAAGGCCTGTGACACTGTCCAGCTTAAGCCTGTCCAGCAAAGACTTCCTCTGATCTTCACAACTTGCATTCAATTTCTTCAGACCTTGACAACGAACATTAACTTTAAACTTTCTCTTTTTTTTTAAAATCTGGAAACATCCAGTCATGAGACGTAGGTGGCTAACCACTAAGAGCAGTCATTGAAAAGCAAGTTCTTTAGATAAGGAATTAAATAAAGGCAGGGTTTGTTTTGTTGTTGTTGTTTTGTTTTACATTGAAACCTGTTTTGTGAATTTACCTTTCCCAAGGTGAAGCCTGCCAGCAAGGCAAACCTGTCTGCGAGTTTAAACTTTTGGTTTTAAAGTTTGTAAGTTTGTAACATCAACAAACAAACAACATGTACATCTTTTACACCCAAAGTTACTAAAGTCAGACTGTTTCAAGGTGAAAGCTGACTTTCTAGCTTCGAGTGGACTGACCAGGCAGCTACAGCCGTTAGGGTAGGAGCTGGCTGAGGATGGCTTGCTGCTGCTAAGCTGTCTGATAAAGCTAGGACCCCCGCAAAGACTCAGATCCTCCGTCACGATCTTGATGGCTTGTTGGGGGCAGAGGTCATCGGTCTTTGTCCACTACACAGGACAGCAGTGAGTCTTGGGCTGCCATACAGGGCAGCATCGGTCTTCGACCACCTGACCCAGAAGATCTGAGAGATTTTTCTTCAGAGGAGGAACTTGGGGAGCTGACCTAGCTTGCAAAGGCAAGAAGAAGCAGTTGGTTTTTCAGTGTCTTGCTTGCCCACTGTTTGGGGCAGGGTTCTGGTGGCAAGATGAAGGGGAGTTCTTTGCCCAGTGACCATTGTGGTCACATTTGAAGTAAAAGTTCCAGGTGAGGACCACTGCCCCATCTTTGGAGGGCACCTGAGGGCTGCCTCCAAGAGTTGGCGTTTCTGTCTACCATGGGAAGCCTTTTTTGTTAAACCCCGTAAAAGTACCATATTCAGCAGATCTCTCTGAGGGGTTTGAGAGCCATCATCTAATAGAGTAAGCATACCTGATTTTAAACAAGCTTCACTTGTTTTAAGTTACTTGTTTTAGGCTTAACCTTGACAACATATGTAGAAGGCTAAAGCTTGTCCCTGTAAATGAATTACATAACTAGAAATAGAGTTCTGAGCATGAAAGAATTTGATCATTTATAAGGTGGCTATCAACTCGCATGTCTTAATTATCTTTAACAGTTTATGGCAAGTTAGTAGTTTTTTTAAGATTAGAATTTTATATTTTTATCCCTGTTAAGTTTGAGCCTTAAAATTTTGAATTGAAGATTCATGAAAGACTCTTTAGGATTAAAATAAAGCTTTAAACCATAAATACAATTCACGGAAAGACTGATAACCTTATTTTCCTCATCCTTTCATAGTATACCTTTACAAAATATTATAGTTTCTTGTATGACTCAGTTTATCCAAATAGCTAAAGCTTAATAAATTTACGAAAGACAATGTGGCTAGATATGCCCTGTTCCAAGTCATTTCTGCTAGCCTGAATAGACCTTAGGAATTCATAAACCTTATTCATCAAATGGTATGTTGTTCCTTATCCAAAAAATATTTTTTGGAAGCCTGGTGTTGAACACAGTTAAACAGGAGTTGAATCCAAGTCACATACAAGCATGCTACAGCAATCATATATATATATATATATATGTATATATACACACACACGTGTATACATATATACACATATATGTATATGTGTGTGTTATATATATATGAAATCATAAGTTTTAAATTAAGTTTTTGTTACAGAGTTTACAGATACGTTTTTTTTGTTTGTTTGTTTTTTTGGTTTTTTTTTTTTTTAATTTGAGACAAGGTTTTTCTGTGTAGCCTCGGCTATCTTGAACTTGCTTTGTAAACCAGACTGGCTTCAAACTCACAGAGATCCACCTACCTTTGCCTCTCTTAGTGCTGGGGTTATAGGCATCTGCCACCTCACCTGGTTGTTTATGGATATTTTTAAACCATTCCAAATGAATTCACAAATTCTGAGAGATACAGAAAGTTTATACAATAGTCTTACAAGTCCTGAGATAAAAGAAAGTTTATAATTTAGCTGAAGTTTTTAGAGCTATGTTGTTGAATATTAATATTTACTATTGATTTATCTTTTAGTTAGCGGTTATTCCTAAACTGGCTGTATACCCAAAACACCACCAGAGACTAGGATGTATTTAGTTAACCTAGAGCACAATGCTGGGCAATGATTACTCCATCCTAAACCTCCAAGCCAGCATAGTTTCCTCCACTCAGATTTTACCCATTATACTCACTTTCAGTCATATCTTAGGTCCAGTTCATCTCTCCTGCTGGTCTTTCCTCTCCTCCTCCTCCTCACTTTCTTCTCCTCCCCTCTGGACCAGGATGTCTCATCCTATTCTCACCATTGCACAGCACTGGCTGATTGTTTTACTGACAACACAGACAATGAATGATGGCATGTTCACAAAATCTTGAGACAGGTGATGCTTAGAATAAGCATCGCAATGCATTGTCCGGATTGAAACCAGATAGTGGGGGTAGAGAAATCAGCATTTGAATGAACAAGGGTAAACTATACATTCCACAAGAATAT